TTCCAAAGCTCAAGATAATCTATGCGTGTGAGTGTGCTAAAGAATGGGAAAAACTCCAAACAGCCTATGAGGGAACTGCTTCAGTTAGATTATCCAAACTTCAAATGTTTGCCACCCGGTTTGAGGATCTTCGAATAGAAGAAAATGAGATCGTGAGTGAATTTAACTCCAAATTATGTGACATATCAAATGAAGCTCATGGCCTCGGTGAAACCTATCCTGAAGTTAAACTTGTTTGGAAAGTACTCAGATCCATGCCAGATCGATTCGCATGCAAGATCACTGCTATAGGGGAAGCCAGTGATGTGGACTCATTGCGACTTGAAGATATAATTGGAAATCTACAAACTTTTGAAAACAAGTTGAACATTAGCGGAGAGAAAAATTGCTTTGCAAACTGTATCGGACACAACACCATCTGTATCTACTGTTTCTATGACAACACTTGAAGTCAAGCTTACAAAATCCATGTCCTTAGTAGCAAAAAACTTCGGAAAGTTCATGAAAAGAAATGGACATCCTATAAACTCTGAGAGAAAACCCATGACTTCTACAGATAAGCAAGAAGTCAAGAAGCGAATTCGATGTAGAGAGTGTCATGGTTATGATCATATCCAGGCAGAATGTGCTAACACTCTGAAAAAACAGGGAAAATCACTTGCCACAACCTGGAGTGATGACAACTCAGATTCTGATGATGAGAGTGAAGCTCGTGACGATGATACAAACAATGATTTATGTGGAACATGCAGAATCACTGAAGACACACTAGAAGACACCATATGCACAAAACCACCACATCTCAGGTATGTCACACAGAAAAATGAGAATCACGAAAAATTAAATACATCTTTTTGTCCACAAGGAATGACGAATCAGAAGATGAAGGTGAAGATTCTATCCAACAAATTCAACAACAGCTGAATTATCTCCTGAAACAATGTCATGAAGTTAGTAATGAAAATAAAGTCTTGAAAGAAAGAATCAAAGAACGAGAGGAAGAGAACGAAGCTGTTATAACAAAGCTGAATGACAGAATCGATGAACTTGAGATGGAGATTGAAGTCTTTGAAGTGGAATAGGACTTCGCACAGAGAGACATCGACAATCTAAAATATAGTATTGGCAGGACTATGATGGTGAAAGAGCAAAATGAATCAGGAAAAATCTTTTCCCAAAAATTCAGGATGAGGATGATCACCAAGATATTTCACCACCTGTTGCCACAATGTTTGAGGCTTCTGTCAGTAAGTTAAATCGCACCGTGTTTCTTCCCTCAAATAGATTAGATGAAATCATAAATGCTCATCCTTCTAATCCCAAGAGAATTGGTCTAGGGTATACTGGTGGACAATCTAATGCTAACACTGGTTCGAACCAGAGAATTAGATTCGTCAATCCCATATCTCCGCATGTGACTACCCAAACTCATTCAACTAAGTTTGTTCCTACTTGTCACTTCTGTCAAAAAGTGGGGCATGTCAGGCCTAAATGCTTTAAAATATGGAAACTGATAAATAAATAGTTAGCATATCAGTCATCCAATTCCACTGCGTGGGATATCTACTCGCAAAGAAAAAACTCTAATAAAAAATGGATGACAAAAGATAGTACTAACTGTTGATCAGCTATTTTTTTCCTTAAATGCATGTGCTACTAACTCTTGGTATTCTGACTCCAAACACATGACAGGTGAAAGGAATTTCTTGTTAAATTTGCTTAACATGTCTAGTGGACAGGTCACTATTGGAGATGGAAATAAGGCTTACGTAAAAGGAAAAGGGAACTTGAGTGTTGGAGGATTGCCAAACCTGAACAATGTCCTGTATGTGGAAGGTATGAAATCAAACCTTCTGAGTGTAAGTCAACTGTGTGACCTATACGACTCAATATTGTTCACAAAGCGTAAATGTGAAGTATTTGATGAAAGCAAAAATTTTGTTCTAACTGGATACAAGTCATCAGATAATTGTTACAAAATCGATCAGATTGATAAATCCGATCAATGTCATCACACTACTTCTGATCTCACTGATCTCTGGCATCGGTTACTAGGTCACCTAAATTTTCATGATCTAATCCGTCTTGTTTATGCAGGTTGTGTGAAAGGAGTACCACAACTGAAGTCTGACACACCAGAGTCATGTGGTGACTGTCCATTGGGGAAATAAGTACGGACATCTCGCAAGAACACAGATCATGCAGGGACTAGCAGGACCTTGGAACTCATTCACATGGATTTAATGGGGCCAATGCAGACCGAGAGCATTGGTGGAAAAAGGTATGTGTTAGTTTGTGTTGATGATTTCTCAAGATTCACTTTGGTGCGTTTCATTGGGGAAAAGTCAGAGACTTTTTATAAGTTCAAAACTCTATGCAAAAAATTGCAAATTGAAAAATTCAACAATATTGGAAGAATTCAAAGTGATCATGGAAGATAATTTGAAAAGTCTTCATTCACTAAATTTTGTGATAAACATGGTATCTCACATGAGTTCTCAGCACCAAAGACACCATAGCAGAATGGTGTGGTAGAAGAAAGAACATAACTCTCCAAGAAATGTCACGCGTAATGCTTATCTCAGCACGAGTGGCCACAAAGTTCTGGGCTGAAGCTACGAGTACTGCCTGTTACACCATAAACCGTGTACATCTCAAAACCATGTACCAAGAAAACTCCATATGAAATATGGAAAGGTAAGACACCCAACTTAAGTTACTTCCATATATTTGGGTGTGAATGTTACATCTTGAATGATAGAGAACAACTCGGTAAGTTCTCTGCAAGAGGAGATAAAGGTACGTTTCTTGGTTACTCTCTGAACAACAGGGCTTATCGCGTTTATAATGAACGTACAATGACTGTCATGGAATCCATAAATATAAGCTTTAATGAAGTCTTATCTGCAGGAATGGATGATGAAGACTCTAGCCCTGGAAAAACCATTGTACCATTTCAAACTCCAGAAGTAAGCAGAGGAGATGTGACAGTCGCAAAGGAAAGCACAGGAGAAGAAAAAAGGCCATTAAAACGAGTTGTAAAAAATCATCCTTCTGAACAGGTGATAGGAGAAATTGATGAAGGTATGAAAACTCGAAATAAGCCCAAAGCCCATAGTGAACTGTGAACACACAGAGATAAAAGGAAAAGAGGACGGCGGTAGAAGAGAGAAGAAGAATTAAGTGAAGAGAGAAGGAGAAACCCTAGAAGGGGCAGATATTTAAAGCACAAGAACCGAGAAAAGGGGCAGGAAAAGAGAGAACTCTTCAAATACCCGATAATTCCAAATCATAAGAAGATCACACAAAATCCGTAACCAATAACA